ACCGCCTGGAAGAGATGTTATCAAATTATTCTGCTGTTAGAAATAAGCAGAGATATTATTTTTCCATTATGCTTTATTTCCTTATAATTTTACTCAATAGTCCTTGACATTCATCCACTACGAAAGTTGTGTATGAAAAGTTATGTTGTACAGAGAAAACAACATTACACGCTACGAAAAACAGACGGCCGCTGAGGAGAATTTTCGCAGACAGTAAAGGACGGCGAAAGGGTTAAAAACTACACCATTCTCCACTTACATTACATTGATTTATTTTTGTGAGTACACATGGAATAGTTTTATTTTTAACATAAGTTTACTTCTGACATCTGATTGATATTCTTTGTCAAATATTAAAAACATGTAATATTTTCTAGCAATGATATGATAACATCAACAGATTTAAGCGCAGTGCACTTCAAAATAAGTTGTATTGTTTGCAAAATAAGAGTTATATTTAAGTCTAAATAAAACTTTCTTTCTTCTCTCCAACGAAATTCGGTTTCCGATTCTTAAATTTGATAAAATGTTTTCTCATAAATAATTTTAAAGTAAAGATGCAAAATTGTCTTCTGAAAGTTAAAATGCTTTATATGAAATTTCTAAAACAAAGGAATAAAATTACGCAACAAATAAATTATAGACGCTGCTTCAGTTTAAAAAAGATCTGCGTTTCTTTTAGGAGGAGAAAACTAATAGGATTATCTTAAAAAATATATTTTCTTACTTTAAGCTCCCTGTATGCTAATGTCCCTTAGTTCTTAATTCTGCCAATTGGTTATTTGTCCAATCTAAATTAGGTGCGCTACTTTTGAATCCCACGACTTCCTTCACTGTGGAACAGTAAAATTGCTGCACTAATAAATGTATACTGTCAACATTAATAAATTAAGCAATTAGCTAAACCATACTTATTTTACAAATGGATCGTAATGGAATGACGAAATGCTTAAAAGTTAAGGTAATTTTTGATGTCGTACAGAACATGCAGAAAGCGTTATCCTGAGTATCCACTTCTGCACACCACACAACAGCAGCTATGATACGTTTGGGCTGAAAAGAAGAATGGACTCTCTATAGCAGTGTGGGGTATTCTCGTCCACACATCTTCAACGCTTTCAATGCTGTTTTTTTTTTTTTTTTTTTTTTTTTTTTTTTTTGTCAGCCAACAGGTTTTGACCCGATAGTTACTCTCTACACAGTTGTCTCTACAACGGTTCAGACATTTTTAGTTGGGGAGAAACATTCCTGCCAACACAGGACTGGCAAACACTATGTATTAAATAAACGTAGAATTCCATAGCCTGTCTTTTTAACTTGCTGAAAAGCAGAATTACGGAGGCAAGAAGATATGACGCAGTAAAACCTAAGTAATGTAACTGTGGCTTGTGTAAGTCAGAGATGTGCGGACTACAGGTGAAAGGAATGAGCACCGAATAGTACCCATGCTAACATTTGGAAGGTTTGGGTAGCGGATTGAAGAATGTAGGCTTCTAATGCTCTTTCTTCTCAGTGCCTCAATGCACGACTATGACCATCACTCATGTGTGACTAATAACAAGGTTTTGAGTTCTGCAATTCATAAACAACTTTTAATACCATCCAATGTATAACTTGCGTATCGGCTGAAAGACAACATTATAGATTAATTAAATTTTAGCTAAAAGGATTTAAATTAACGAAAACTGACAGAATAAAATCTAGAAGGAGGAGGGAACTGAAAATATATTTTCATCCAATATTTAGTTAAAATTGTACCAGATAAAAGGGCGACAAAAAGAAAGTAGTAAGAATTAATTAATATTGCGTTCGTAAACTTTAAATATTGAAGTCATTTCCAAGGATGGGAAAGTTAGACAACTTATTTTAACCGATACCAAATGTAAGTTACTGAACGTTTATCTGTTCTGTCTACTTCAAATATTATAAAAATTGTTTTATAAAAGTATGCCAATGCCGCTAATTATGTTTCTTAATTTTACGAAAAATTTAGCATGTTATTTCGATTATGGGCCCATTTTATAAAAATTTAGAACACTATTAAAATTTTCAAGAAGGTTAATACATAATGTTTTAAATGAGGTAACCTTTAATTTATTGACTAGTTCTTATTTTGTTTAGGTTTTAACTAAGTAATAAATAAAAATATATTATTTTGTATAGATAAGCTTAAAATGATAATTTCAATGCTGCTAGCTAGAAATTTTGAAACAGCAACAAAATGCTGCCCTGCTTTCTTTATCTGCAGCATGCTTTCCTTTCCAAGAAACATCGATACGTTATTAATTAAAGGATTAATAAAATAACTAATTGTAGTTTCTATGTAATTTACTAGTAAATAATAGAAATAAGTAATACAATTCGTTCTTTGGTAGAAAATGAAAAACAGAGTACTCAAAGAAAGAAACTGAGGCTTCATATTTAAAATAAAATTTTCAGAAATGATTGGTATTATTTATTGATTTTATCAAAGAATTTTCTTGCAAAGTCTGTTATTGTTGTTGTGATTAATCTCACAAAATTGCGTCTGTTGTCTTCGGCACTATGCAGGTGAAGGCGTTGCTCAGTTCCATCCAAATTTTGAAGGATAACACCCCTGTGGGGATGAGCCCGAGTGTCTTCGACCCCTCTTCCCTTACCACAAACCTCTCTCTGGAGGACTATGGGTGTGCCGTATATTTAGAGTGCCCCATGCCCCACAGACATTATACATTTACAAACATCCACGCCTTCTCTGGGACTCGAATCCGGGCCTACGGCAGTCTGAGTCACTAACCACCATCCAGCTTAAGCAGCTCAAAGGCTCTAGTGTGATAATACTAACTGATTCTTTTATAAAAACAAACAGGTGCTATTGAAAGTAGAGTTAAATACTTTAATATTTATCTTGATTTTATTCAAGCACATGTTTTTATTCTGTGTGTTGACTTCAAATCTATTTTAAATGCTTTTTTTTTTTTTTTTTTTTTTTTTTTAAAGTTTGAAAATGTTTTTATAGTTTTGAAATGATAAAAAAAGAGCGATATCATTTCGTCCTTTTCTTGGCTGTCTTTCTTGCAGTTATTTGGAAGATCATTAAAAAGAGTTTGCTTACAAAAGCCATGTTGAAAGTCAAAATAATTAGAAAGTTGCTGGAATCGATAAAGTCCAGATAATTAAGAAAGAAACTACTGTGCGTCCATTTTTTTTTTGTTATTTATAATTTTCTCTATCTAAAAGAATATAACAAACTGCAAGAAGCACAAAAGTCGATAAATTAAAAAAAAAAAAAGGAAATTCTCTGAATTGTAAATAATGTTTGACAAAGAAAATTACTATCACAAATAGAATGTTTACTTTTCAGTAAGTTCTTCATTTCTTAAATTTTAGAAATTGCTTTTGCATAAATACATTCCTTGAACTTTCATCAAATCGGGTTTAAAAGAAAGTACTTCATTGATCGATAATGATTTCAAGAAGTTCTTTACTGTTGAGTCAGTAATTTGTGTTTTTGGAATGTTTCACTATAATTCCCTTTAAATTATTTGCTACTATATTTCATTAATAATGCAAAATATACTTAGTTAAAAAATGAGTATTTATATTGAGAATTTATTCAATATCTAACCGTAAATGCTTTATCAATTTACTACTTCCCTTAATTGGTACATTTATTAACTCTATTTTTTGTAATTTTGCATACGTTTTGGCAAATTCAATAGGAAACTAAATGTAAATTGATTTCCTTTCTCGGAAAAGAAAATCACAAACAGGCACACATGGCAGTCTACGATCTCAAACTAAACAATGATCTTCAGGATTGAGATTATCATGAAAACATAAATGTCTAAATATTTGCCTGCTAGAAACCATTTTTGTTATCGTCAGTATATATTAAATAATGAATTTGAAGCTGAATATAAATTTACTGCTAGTTTCACTGTGTTAGCTTTACACAAATTTCATATGCGTATTTTGATAGAATAACGTGGATATTTGAGTACGTTTTATAATGAATAATCTGAAAAATGTCGTCTGCTCTCTGTTTGTCTCAGTATAAGCCCAAAAAAAGAGTAACGGGAAAAGGATATGTGCTTTATACTGCTGCACAGTGTTCCTTAAAAAACGCAAATGCTTGGCAAAATGTATTAATAGTTATAAATAAAGGTGAAACATTTTCTTAGTATGAAGTAATAAATAATGAAATAGATTTTGTTCGTTAGTTTGAAATAATGAAAATGGAAATAGCTTTTGTTTTTAAAAGCTATTAACCAGACTATACGAAAATATTGGCAGACAGAAATTATACACGAAAATTCAGCATATGCATTTTAGATAATTGCTGTTTAAAGCCAGTGCATAATTTACAACCTGTATCTTAAGCAAAGTTTTTCAGATTTTACACTCACTTATAAAGGTTTACATTTGTGAAACTTCAAGAAAATCTAACTGCATTACTTAAATTTAAATAAAGCACATTATGTATATAACATCATTATGCAATGATTTTCTTTCTAGAGATTTTCAAAATAAATAAATAAATAAGTAAATAAAAAGCACTGAGCTGAGCCATTTATGGTGCCTTTGTGGAAAAAATATCATAAATCCCAGCTGTTACTTTATGCAAAATTAGTTACTTTTCTAAAAGTGTTTCCTTTTGCAAGATTGAAAGAAACTCACGTCAATGAGTTCGAACTTTGTTCCTCAAACTACCAACAGCCAAAGCACAAAATAAATCTACCATTCATATTTGAAAATTAAACTTCGAAAGAAATTCCGTTTTATTAAATTTCAAATATCTGGCAATTTCCTTCTCTTCCTTTGAAAAAGTACTGGAAGGAAACTTTAATTTTAATCTCACCTTTCCGTGCCCTCAATATACTCTGAAAGGTCCAACGCAATCCGTCCATTACATTCATCTATTACATGAACAAAAAACGTTTCTTTTCAAGAAATCTCCGACCAATTTGTTAACTTCCCGTAATCAGCATAAATCAATTTCGAGGCTTCCAATCACCTACCTGTATGAGGGCGGAGGACTTCCTTGAGCTACGCATGGTAGTTGGGCGGAAGCACCTTCTTCAGTTCGCACTTGGAGTTGATGAAACGTTACTCTAGGTAGAGTTGATGCATGAGGTTCTAGAAAGAGAGTAAAAGAAAAATAAATAGCATGTTAAATTTTGCATTCGTCTTTGCAAAACATGGTGTTCTTTAGGTTTCAAAAATTTTTTTAAATGAACCCGAAAAGTGATTTTCTATTGTGACTGAAGATTAAAACATCAATTGGAAATGATTTATCACTATTTTGAAAACTTTAGAGATGGTTTTGAATTTTTATAAATAAATATAAAATTCAATATGTACTAAAATCTTATTTAATTACACACAAAATACAGTATAAACGCTAATTGACTTCGCTTCGTGTCTGTCTTCATTTATAACAGTTTCTATAAAGGAGTGCCTTTTTGGCTTAATTGTTACTAGAGAATATGCAAGTGCATTTCCATACACCTCTGTCAGAAACTATATCAAGCTAAGCGACAATAGCTTTGGGAAACACTTAAATACAATCTTGATGCAAATTTCTTATCTTTCATAATGAAGTTGCAATTAAGACTTATATTTCCTGACTATTAATCTTATGCATTTTTTCTTATTTTTTACCCAGCATGCTCATGAATTTCTCCATGTCGTTTTTTATTACATCGCTATTATTAAATTATGACGTATTTGTCTGAGTGCATAGACGTTTTTTCATTGTAGAAAAAGAGCGTATCCTGAGCCACCACATTTTAAACACACATTCTCCATCCGAACATGTACAATGAAGCTCCTTTTCAGCAAAATGAATTTTTAAATGACAAAATCAGCGATTAAAAAGGCGATGCGTTCCCACCGCTCGAAATCAAGCATTTTTAATTTCGGCTCGCCAATATGCTACCATTTTACAATACTAATACTAGAATAATTAAATACTAGAATATTTATCTTTCAAATTTAATCAATAAACTCTAGTATTTAAAAGCAATGTGCTGCCACTGAAAGACATAATTTACTTTCATCTTCCACTCTCCAGAGTGTCACTATTCGGCAAAGTGTTAGATATTTAATTTACAAATTTAATTTTTCTGCTATTTATTAATAAACTAAGCTATTTAATAGCAATTCTTAATAATAGCTATTCTTAATTATGTAGATATTCTTAATAATATTTTTATTTTTTATTTCAATAAAATGCATGTAATCCAGGATATTGGTTAAAGTACTAAATATTTGGATGAAATTATTCTATATAGTTTCAATAAGTCTCCGATCTATCTAAGAAAAACAATTTTGCTTCACAAATTCGACATTATTCGTCATCAAACTCCTCTCTTTAAAGATATTAACTCCAACGCACTAACGTTTCGAAGCTTTCTTCGCAGGACAATATGTCTTTGCTCTTAAAATAGGCCTCAAATCGGCAATCAATTCTTCATTTGAGCTAAATTTCTTTCTCTATTTAATGTCTGCAAAACGTTAGTAAGCGCCGAGGTCAGATCTGGAGAGTATGGTGGGTGGGGAATGATTTCGAAGCGTAATTCATTCAGTTTAACCACCGTTTTCATCAACTTGTGACATGGGACACAGTCTTGATGAAATAGTACATTTTTATTTTGCATGTGAGGTGATTTTTTTCTAGATTCCTACACTCAGTCGATTCAATAATGCCATGTATTATTCTCTATTGAAAGTTTAATCTTTCTCAATAATGGTCGATGAACTAAATACTATGTGCATCCCAAAATACGGATGCCATAACCTTGACAGATCACTTTTGAGTTTTTGGGCGAATTTCATCGCCTGCGTCCATTCAGCTGACGATCTTTCTTCCCTTTTTTTTTTTTTTTTTTTTTTTTTTTGGGGGGGGGGGTGGGGGTGGTCCGGCGTAAGCAAATACGGTACCCACTTCAAAAGCACCTTACTTATTATCTTATTCTAACCAATTATTTTTAGTTCTACTTTCCTTTCTCTCCTGATTTCAGCTTCCTGCCGGAATGTACATTTTAAATGACGTATTATGCTAAACTAAGCGTGTTTCAGAAGCAATATTTAAGTTGCGTTTTGAAAGTTCGTGAGGAGTACTACCGGAGTTAGTTCCGAGTTTATGCTGCCTATTTGAAATTAGCCCTCTAGTCGGTGTTAGAACACTTTCAATTTATACTGATATTTCTAGGCTCGGCTTTGCTGTGTGCAACCGATTTAGCGTTTAGTTAAGCTAAGGAGCTAATCTTTGGCCAAACTTATTACCGATTTGTTACATTCTTATTTTATGTTAAATTTAAGTTAGCCAAATGTGGTCGTGAATTGTGAGCACTAAGTACGTGCGTCTGTTTATTTTATTTCGAATAAAAGGGTTATTTAAAGCTTCATGTGAAGTATTTATTCTTCAAAGACATAACGAGTATTCGCTACTTCGTCCTCTACGTAGGGTCCACGTTGTTATGCTACCAAAAAAAGCATGGATACTATAACTTCGTTATCAATCTTATTATTATGCTTATATTTTCGTTATCAATCTACCTTCTGATATTTTTAAGATATCAGCTATCTCAAGCAGCATCACTTGACAGTCTTTCAAAACCATTTTGTGTCCTTTTTTTAATGTTTCAACTAACAAGTACCGATTTTGGGCAACCAGAGTGTGAAGCGTCAGCTGCGTTAGTTACGACCGCGTTTAATTTCAGCTTACCAGTCAATAACAGTTGATTTCCCAGGTGCAGTCTCTAGAACGCTTACGAGGCCACTGGTTTCAAAACAGTAGTTTTCGCCATCAAAAAATAATATTTAAACAAAACACAAAATTCTTTTTATGCATTGTTTTGAAAATTACAAAACTGGGATCACTAAAATTACTGTAACCTGTAAACTAATTAACAGAATGTCATGAAAATTTGAACTGAATCGTTTGAAGGACGCTACTAAACAGAAATCATACCGGTATTTCAACAGTGTTCTCTTACATGTGTCAGACAGGAGATCTAATGAGTGATATATATATATATTTCTCTTTAAAATTACTAGTTTAACAGCGCAGTCATGTAAGTCGCTAGTATTTAACCCCTCGACGGTTACCAGATTAAGCAATTATTTCTTCCCAAATACGCGCGATATTTGTGAGATGACCATCGAGAGGTTTAGTAAATAAAATATTATCTGCACTTTCACTGAATGCTAGAGTTAAATTTTTTCATGTTTTATGAATGAAACATTTGTACAATATTTCAGCTTAAGTAAATGTTCTCATTTAGGCATGTTTCTCTCATTCTTATCTTATCGCAAATTTACATTCATCTCATTTAGCTTATATAAATTCCCTCATGGTTGAAATTTTTCATCGATTTTTAACCTATTTCCTGACGAGATATCCAGGTCATATCCTGTATACATACTCTTTGTCGAGTACAAATGCGATATACAAACTAGTTTCTTAAAATTCGGTTTAATATTTTTAATTTACTGTTTAAACGATTTTAGAATATATCTTCGTTGGATGAAAAAAATTAAAAATATCAGAATTTTACTGTTTGATCCATTCCATAGAGCATAACAAAATCGCTTAAATGCAACTCGTGTGAAAATTGCAGCCTACATTCTGAATTTTTCATATTACAGATAGCTGCATGCATGAATAACATCAAAATTGTAAACAAAGGAAGTACACTTACTTGGAAATCGCAAATAATTCATTTAACATTGATAGCATTAAAATTTCATAAAGCTTATATTAAAATTTCAGATCATATAAGCATTAATGTATCATTATTATTATTATTATTTATTTATTTGTGTTACTACGTCCGTAAGAGTTCGTAATAGATAAAATGCACACAGGTCAGACGATAGGCTAATAAAAGTTTTTTTTATCATATGAAACACTTCAAAGCTCTGGAATGTTTCACAGAAGTACTCGTACAGCAGTTCACAGTATCGCACAGTACAGTCAGCAGTTACACTTCAAACTACTAAGAGCGTTTAATACAGCGCAATGTAAAGAGCACCTAAAGAGTAAGCTAACCCGGATATATCTCAATTAACGCTGAACTAAGAACTCGCAAGAACAATAAGTAAACAACTGATAGCAGATGCTCTCTCTCTTTCCTTACACAGTTTTCAACCTGCCGCCAAGGTACTTCTAGTTTTTGCTGCTGTAAACTACTGGAATGCAATATGAGGGTCAAATTACGGTTGCAGATAATATGGTGATCAATTATATTTATTCCATTACAATACCTATTGCTGTGATATAGGGACCAGACCAAGATGTCGCTAAATTGACGCTAAGTTTGGCGACTTTTGGCGATTTCTGGCCAAATTTGGCAACAAAATAAGTCGCCAACACTGTTGTCAGCTTGGTGATATCTCGCCAAATTAGCGAGATACCTATTTACTTAATATTAAGCGGACTTACCCCCGTATTCGGACTTTTCTAACATAGCTCGTGTCTTTAGATTCTTCATGTTATATTACGCAGCAATAAATACAATTTCGCAAATGACTGCAGGTGACAGGTGACGGAGGACGGGGACGCCTGGCGTATAACATAGGTAAACAGGCATATGTCCCACGTCCTCCACTATCTCGAAAAAGCAACTCGCTGGAGCCCCGTGAGGCTGCACCGGGAGTTTACATGGCCATACAGGTGCTAGATGTCGGGTAGTTTTTACATAGGACGTTGTTAATAACACAAAATAACTTAAAAAAGAATATAAAGGATAGCATTAAAACACTAAAACACTCATATAAGCTGAAACACATAGATATACAAAATTCAACGTAAAAGCATAAAAACACACTCGTTATTACGTAACATAAAGACAAAAACACACACGAGAATACATATCATGACACATAGAATACATATGGAAACACGTAGAGCACATAAATGCAAATGTTACACACAGAAGAAACATATCAGACATAGTAACGTGTGCGTAAAGCAGTAGCGCTGTGCGGAAATATGCTCAGTTCACATAATACATAATGTACATACTTTCATTAGGGGCTTCTGTTGCATGAATTACATATTTCGTTGCATACACTATATTCGTGCATTGTACGGATATTATATATTTCGATTTACGATAACACATCATTCCATTGGGTGCCCAGTGCTTTACACTGATAAACATGTCAGTAACATTATTTCTGCAAGTTGGTGGCTATTGAAAGCGGATGTTAACACGAGGCTCAAAATTGAATGTGGAATGTGTATTACAGAATGTGTACATACTGCGAATATCTAATCGTTGAGTACATTGTCTGCAGTACCATGCTACTGTGGCTCGCAAATGTCTTGCCCTAGGGCGTTGATTTGCTGTACAACTGTGCAGATACTCCTTATAGCTGGCAGGTGTTTGATTATGAAACAATAGTAAAGTGTTCTATCATTCATTGGATGTGGTAAGTGGTGGTTTGTTGTTAGACCGCAGTCAAATAGGTAGTGCTCGGGAGAACCTAGCATGCCACAGACACAATTGTCAGATGCTGAGATGCCATGACGCATAAAATAAGATGCAAATGGGCCATGACCCGTTATGTACTGTGTCAGTGGGGCTATTGTTATAAGACGTTCCGTGTCTACCTTTGGTAGGAAGTTATACGTCCTTCTCCCTGTGTCGCAACTATTCCATTCTTCTTGCCACTTTTCTTTACAGATATTACGCAGAGTTTTTTTTTGAGGTGTGAGACGGGGGTAAGGGCTCTTATAGTTTGTACGTGGATGTTGTTGGCAGCCTCATTAGCCAGACGGTCTGCGACGTCATTCCATTCGTTGTCGGAGTGTCCTTTCACCCATACCATGTTAAAGCGGGCTTGATGATTATTGCGTAAAAGTTGCTGTATATCTATGATGATGGGTGAAGTGTGGTGATGATCCCTGAGTGCGTGTAGCACTGACATGCTGTCCGTGTAAAAAGTCGCATTGGTAAGGGAAAGGTTGAGGGCATGTCGTAGCGCATTCAATATTGCTAGTGCCTCTGCTTGGAAGATACTATTGCTGTTAGTGAGATGTCCTTTCCATTCCTTTACTAGTGTGCCATGTTCGTAGTGAGCAAACGCGCAGCCCACTCCCTGATCATGTTTTGATCCATCAGTGAACAGTTGTGTAATCGCAGAGGAAGTGTGTTGTCTGGAGTGCGATTGCTGATGTTGGATTTTGACATGGATCCCTCTACCTTTGATGGCAGGGTGGATGTGTTGCACACTGCCAGGGAGTTCATAGTCTGTTGTTCTGAACGTAATTCCTGCATATGTGGCTTCTTGTCTGTGATGGGTGATTCGTACATAGGTAGTCCTCTGCCTCTGCCTTTATGTGTAATGGCAGCAGGCCTGCAAGTATCGTGGCGGCGCTGGACGCTGTTGTGCGATAACCTCCGCAGATGTTTAATGCAAACGGCCGTTGAATTGTGGTCAGTAGCTTGGTCTTTCGGCTGCTCATTGGTTGTGCCCATATGACTGCTGCGTAGAGAATTATTCTCTCTGCCACTGTTAGATACAATAGTTTCCTGATATGGGGGTTTTGTCCCCAATTTCTCCCTTGAAATTGCCTGGCTTTCCTTGCGATGGTCGATGTTTTTGTACGTATTTTTTGGAGGTGCGGTAACCAGGTGAGTCTTTGATCCCAAGTGACTCCTAGATATTTAATCGTCTTCGTTATTTTTAAGTTCTTGTCCAGTAGCTTTATACATGGACGTCTTGTGGGATTTGTGCCAGGACGTGGAATTACGATGGCTGCGGACTTTTGTCGAGAGATGATTAACTTAAGTTTATTGCATAGGTCCGTGAATATCGAGCAGGTTTCTGTGGCATTCCGTTCCAGTTCATCTCTTGTGCGGCCAGACACCAGAAGAGCTACATCGTCGGCGTATGCTATGATATCTGTGTGCAAAGGCCATTCATGTTGTAGTATGGAGTTAAAGGTGATTATCCAGAGCAACGGACCGGCGCAAGAGCCTTGTGGACACCCTCTTTCCTGCCGCTTGATAGTGAGGCCATTGTTGTTGGCTACTATGAGGCTACGTGCATGTAGATAGTCCGTGATGATGTTAAAGATGTTTTTGGGACATTGTGCCTCTCTAAGTGCTTGCTTTATAGCAGGCCACCAGAGGGTGTCAAAGGCGCTTTGCAGGTCCAGGGATATGAATGCCGTGTGAAGATTTCTGCCTCTATTTTGTTCTATGCTATCTTTAAGATGACTCAGGGCATGCGTGGTTGACAAGCCAGTTCGGAACCCGTATTGCCGTGGGCTGAGGAAGTTGGTCTGCTGGAGATGGAATTTAAGTCTGTTTACCAGTAATTTTTCATAAATTTTTCCCAGAGACGAAAGTAGGCAAATTGGCCGAAACGAGCTTGGGTCATCTGGGGATCTCTGCTTCTTCAGGAACAGGACCACTTCTCCTTTTTTGAAAGCAGTAGGGAAGATCTGGTATTTTAAGAGCTTGCCGAAATATTTCTCGAAGAAGGTAGGGCGGGATGTGTAAGCCACCTTTATTATTGCATAATCTAGACCGTCTGGTCCCGGAGCCTTTTTTATGGGAAGAAAACGGAAGATTTGCTGTATTTCAGCTGAGTCGAAGGGTATGTCGTCTGGTGTGTTAGGAATGGAATGGTTGTCCCGTATCTTCTGTTGTTCTGTTGAGTCATCATCCGGGTTATCTGCTAGGAAGATTGCATTAAGGATAGCAGATGCTGTGGTTTCTGCAAGATTGGTGTTGTCTGAGTTATTGGCTGATTGGGCATAAAGCTGGTCAGGCTTGTAAACTTTATTTGTAGCTAGTTTATGCAGGATTCCATAGACGTTGGTATTAGCTGTGCAAAATTTCCGCCAGCTATTGACTTTGGCTCGTAGTATGCATTTTTTATAATGCGCTCTTTCCCTGCGGAATGTGGTCAGCAATGCCATTTTGGTGGCTTCGTCCATTACACCTCGGAGACGCCGTCTTAGGGCTCTGCACTTTTGCCGTAATTGGCGTAGTTCCTTAGTCCACCAGCATATGCCTTGTATGCGTTTAGCAGTGCGAGTCTTCAGGAGCTTGTCGCAAATACATCGCAATGTATTGAGGAGATGATCTGTATAAGTGTCTAATTCCTCTGGGCTATTTATTTGGTCTATTACTTCTTCTTCACTCTGTAGGGTATCCGAGAAAGCCTTTGTTAATGCACGCAGTTTATTGCCTGGGATCTTGTAGCGCTTAAGGATAGTGATGCTTGTGTCGGTATTAATTGCAAAGTGGATATATTTATGATCAGAGCAACTCTCGTCGTCTGTGACCCTCCAATCTGTTATATTGTTGGCTATGTTACTTGTAGCTATTGTTAAATCAGGCCATCCTTTGTTGTATGAGTTGTCGAACGTCGGTGGGGCATTCTGAGTATTTATTAACTGTAGATTGGCTGTCATTATAAATTCTTCTAACGCTGTTCCTTTCGGTGAGGTATCTGGGTATCCCCAAATGACGTTGTGCGCATTTAGGTCTCCACTTATTACGTGAGGAATGGTAGTATGTTTTCTGTGTATTTCTGCTATACTATCTACTGCATTGCTGATGTCTTCTGGTGGAGAGCTGTAGACGGATGATAGGATAATCTGGGAGTTATTATAATTCAGAAGAATTGCAACATGATCTCGTGCCTGCTTGATAATGAGTGGGGACCATTGTGGATTACAACAAAATGATCGCCGCTCTCGGGGGTAGTTCGTTAAGTTGCGCTTTCCGCTGGAAGATCTTCCATGAGAGTGGTAGGCAGGCTATTGCGCCGTTTCTGCAGTAAGGCTCTTGGAGAAGAATGATATCTATCTCATGATCGAGGACATGCTGCACTAGTTGCGTATTAGCTGCTTCTGCCCGCTGGAGGTTAATTTGCGTGCATTTTATGGAGCCTGCTGAAGAATGAGTTAGAATCAGGTTGACTGGGTTGTCGATATTTGTCGGTAGGATCTCTTGTGAGAAAGTGTTGCTTTCTTCAGACGCATTAGGTAGTAACATAGCATTGGTAGGCTGCTGTGATGTTATAGCTTTAGTATTGTGTGTTGCAGCGTGTGTTGTAGACGGCTCTCTGGTACATCGGGCATTCCGGGTGGTATGCCGGATGTTCAAAGTAGTAGGAGGTGCCGTTGCGGTAGTTACAGTCCCCGCAGTTGATACAGGCTGGTGACTTTGCTTGACAGACTTTGGTGTTGTGAGACTAGTGTAAATTTGATGGTTAACTGTTGCTTGGATAAATTTAACGCTCTTGAATATATATCTGTAATTGCGGAAATATTTCGAGGATTTTTCTAATTTTGGATTCCTTTTATTGCGCATCATGAGAGGAGCATTTTGAGACCTTTTTTGGAATTTTTGAACAAATATTTACGAATTTATCAAGATTTTTTGGACTTTGAAAATTCAGTTGGATTCAACCATAACAGAGCATTGTATCACATACTGAAATCGTCTTTCAAGGAGCTAAGTTTTATGTTTTTTCAGTAATTCTGGATAATTATTGGATGCTGGATACATTATGGACTTCTCCCATCTGTCTTTGAGGAATTAGAATCACATCCCATACTAACTCAGACACCCCGATAGAGTAGATAAGTTTTTTTTCTTAATATATACGTTCATTTTGATATATCATAATTATCTTCCTTTCTCTTACTTAAACTTATTAATTTATTTGTATTTATGTAATTTGTTATTTATTCATTTCACAGTATCCATATTTATTTATTTTATCTAGTTAATTTCATATTTCCTCTATTTATAATTTTATATTAGTCGGTTACATAGCAATATACCATTATTCCCCATAATTACATTTACTTAATATTTTCCTGTTCTTCTGAAATATTTAAACTGTGATTGCCACATCTTTTTACATTATTTTAATATTTATTCATTATTGACTTTAATATTTATTCATTACTTAACTAATATTTAATTCCTATCATTTTATTTTATTATCATTTTTCCTTATGCTTTTACACGTGCTCACATATTAAATTTCATTACATCTATCTTAAACAACAATAAGATTCATTGACTTCCTTCACTTTGCCTCAAAATCGCTATATTTATTTTTACCCAATTTTGACTGTTATAACGATCCAACTTTAATACATTTTTCCTATTTAATTGATACCTTTTTGCATGTCAATTTTTGACACTTTGAATGCTAATAACTCAGTAAATTGACATATTTTCAAAATTCCAAGAGTGTCACGATTATTTCTGACCATATTGACATCTTATTGTTAATTTTGGAGGTGATATCATAAAAATTATTTTCCATAGGATTAACATTATCACACTTCTGACATAGCTTGTTTTACACAGTCTACAGTTTAAATCAATACTTCTCTGTTTCTTATCATTATTTCCAAACTTTTCACATACAACTACCTTCTTATTTTCTTCTTTGATGATTCATTAGCCAGATGGCTGTTCATGATTCTAACTTAGTACAATTAGCCACCACATCAATTACATCTGAAGATACCATTATAGCTCCTGATATTGACTCATCAATTCCGAGATTGGAGAGTTTTAGTGCACATAGCTCATTTATTTATAAGTTCTTGGGCGAAAAACGTGCAAAACATAAATTGAACAAAGAAGACACTAAAATACTCACTGATTTCATAGACTTTGCACAGAAAATATTCTTGGAACAAGAACTACTCATCAACGCCCAACAGACACAAATTGACGTTTTGAACGGACAATCCGATTCTATAAAAAAGGTTTTGTCTATTATTGAACCCATTTCACAACTACCCACTCTTCAACCTGCCACCGATAGACCTTTATACTCTGAAATAGTACAGCGTACTGAAGAAGAAGCTCCTTTCCAATTGGTACAGAGAAAGAAAAAGAGACCACAGGTTCAACATAAACTTACAGATCACGTTCTCTTAGTTAAATCCACTGATCCAACTATAACTCCTTCTGCCCTACAACACCATTTAGCCTCCAAAGTCAATCCTTCCAAACTTGGTATTCCACTACAACAGATTCGTACCACCAAAAGCAAAGAATTACTTCTTAGGTGTCACACTAAAGAACATCTAAATAAATTAAAAGAGTCTCTTCACTCTGACAAAGTATTGAAAGATCAGATCAGCTACAGAGAACCGAAACCAATTAAGGATTCTATAATTTTATTTGGTGTGCCTGAGGATCTCACTGCACAAGACATTATATCAGCTTTTCAAGCTCATCTCCCCACTGAAATAGAGGGTGCAATAAATCCAAGACCTCCACTACACCGTACTGACTCTAGAAACAACTGGATAATTCATTTGGATAAGGAATACTCCCAGAAACTGGGATCTCGCGGACGACTATACCTCGGTTTCAACTCTTGCCCATTCAGAACCTATCACCGTATATTAAGGTGTTACAACTGCCAGGAATTAGGCCACTCTAGTAAATTCTGTCAGAACGAGGCAATTTGTGTCAATTGTGCAGACACACATAAGCAAGACAGTGGCCACTGTACTGCTACGCCCAACTGCCATAACTGCATCTCTAATAATAAAAATAAAGGCACTGACTTTGATTGTTGTCATCCAGCTAACTCAAGAACATGTCAGTCGTACAGGGAAGCTCTTCAGCGCGCCCTTCAAAAAGCGAACTAATGGCAACCAAATTACCAATTATGCATCTCACAGACCTGAGCTTTGTTCAATGTAATTTACAAAATTCCAGAGCTGCAACTGCTTTAATGTTTCAGACACAGTTTCATAAGAATATTCCTATTGCACTTTTACAAGACTGTCATATTAATCGAGATAATACACTAACTGGCTCCACCACACAGAATAAAATTTACAATTCTATTAATATGAAAGCCACAATAGTCTATAATGGTCCACTAACACCAACATTATGGAAAGCCACTCAACATACAGTCTCAATAGTAATTAACTGTCAAGATGGTGACATCTTTATCACTTCAGCTTACTTTCCTCCTAGTACCGACATAGATCGAATTCTTCCTGAATTGGACTATTTAAGATTCCTTAAATTCACAAATATTATTATTGGAGGAGATTTCAATGCTTCAAGTAGTCTCTGGGGTTCGCCTATTGAAGATTCACGTTCAGCGCAGCTCTTAGACTTTGTAGAATCCAATAGACTAGTAATAATCAATGACACTAATGCACCTCCTACCTTTCAAACCATACGTGCCAAAGGATGGCCAGATGTTACAATAGCATCAGAGAGTATAGCTAGAAAAATTGGCAATTGGACGGTTACAGACTGGATAACATTAAGTGATCATAATGCCATCACCTTTACTCTTCACTGTACATTACAATATCAACAAAAGAGAAGATTTAAGACTAATTATGGAGGACAAAATAAGCTTAAACGTTGTCTGCTTCCTTTCATTCCTGAACTGATTATTAAACTTGATGTTTGCAATAGTGCTATAGATTTAGATGAGGCCTATGATAGTTTTATTTATGAAATTATTACAGCCTGCCATAGAACTTTCAAAACTAAGCAAGTTAAAATTAGGAATAACGCATCTTGGTGGACTCCAGACCTAGCTAAAGAGCGAAAGATTCTACGAAAGCAAAGACGCCAAGCACAAGCCGCAACACTCCCTGAAATTAGGATGGAACTTTTTAGTCGCTATAAGAAATCACAAGCTCTTTATAAAAAACATATAAATTATGCCAAAGAAACATCATGGAAAAATTATTGCACACGCACTGTTGAGCGTTATGGCAATATTTTTCATATTGCAATGGACAAAGTTTTCCGTCCTACTCTCCTACCCTCTGATATTTTAAATACAGCTAAAAGTCCAGAGGACACCATCCGATTTCTTCTGACTAATATTTTTCAAAAGGACACCTCTACAGAAGACACTACAAGCCAGGCAGAACTGCGAAGTAATTTTGATAATTACATATATCATAAACCTACTATGGAAACCCATGCCTATCTTTCTGAAGCAAATACATCATCCGCTTTCAATCCGCCAAAGCACCAGGACCTGACGGCGTGGATAACATGATCATTAAAATGATTCATACCATAGCTCCATCCCTTACTATGGCATTCTAAGAGCCTGCTGGAGAATTCGACACTTTCCAAAATCTAGTAAGTGTGCGGAGGTTGTACTTTTCATAAAAAGGACAAGGACCCTCTACAGCCAAATTCATATCGTCCGATTTGCCTTTTACAGCATATGGCAAACTATTAGAACGAGTCATATTGGGCGATTAACCTATTATTTACACCCAATAATGTTGTAACAACCAATATGGATTTAGAGGAGGCCTGTCACAGAACAGCTATTCATGACCTTATTCATACGTACAGGAAATAGAAGGATGGATGTCACTCCCTGGTTGTTAGCCGGAATTCAAGGAGCTTCGACTCTTTATGGTGGCCGGATATATTAATGTCCTGGCTACCATGGGATGTCCGGCTGACCCCTTCAACGATCTTATACGAAGCTATTTAAGCAATCGTTCTGTTCAAATCACCACGATGCAGCCACATCCCAATATGACCTGACTAGAGGATGCCCTCAGGGCTCCTGTTTGGGACCTTTACTATGGATACTTGTCGCAAATCGATTCTAAGGGATCTGAGTGGCCACCGAGACTGTAAAATTATCGCTTACGCAGACTTCCTGATTATCACCCGAGGGAAATCCAAACTCGAAAGCACTACACAGCACTACCTGAATATTTGGAGATTGGGCCAGAGCTCATAAAATCACGTTTCGGCCTCTAAAACTAAAGCCATATTATTGAGACCATAGGCCTTTGCGGAGAATCCCCATTAAATGCAGGTTCGCCAATCAAAATAGTAAAGAATTCAAATATCTAGGCCTTGTCATAGATCATCGTTATCTTGGCTACAACATCTTAAATATGTTTAATCACGCACTCTCCAATTAAATAATAATATCCACGAACTGCCACAGCCTCATGGGGAGTCTCTTCTATCTCTGAAACATTGGTATCATACAGTCACTGAACGAATCGTTCTATAGGGCGTGTCGGTTGACAACCATGAACGCGCTTATGAATACAATTCAACGACCAACCTTCTAATATCAGTAAAGGCTACAGAACTACTCCACCACTGCTTTGCAAACTTAACTGGTATTCCACCGTTAGACTTAGTGCTGAAAGAGACTTACCCTTACATTAATTCTCCGCCTCAACAGGATATACTCTCTGGCACACCTTGTATCAACATCAACATTTTGAAAGAAAAATATTGAATTCCTGCTCATTCAGCGCTTCTAATCTGACAGACTACGTGACCACTTCCTACAAGACTCCTACGTGACCAGCTTCCATATTTATACGGATGGCTCTAAGATGGACTCGGGTACAGGGTCGGACTATGTATCCTACAAGATAACTGTATCATCTCTACATGGCGAAGAAGACTTGGAGCTGACAATTCCATCTTTCAGCAACTCACGGCACTACAGAAAGCAATCTATTTAGCGAGTCAATAGATCGATGTCATATCTTAGTGACTCCATGTTAGCCTACTAGCGTGGGTGGTAGGCCGAGTCGTCATCCGAAGTCATCAAATTACAAAAAATGTCCTTACTGATGCCATCAATAAGACCAACACTCCCATGGGTACGGCACATACTGGAATAAATGGAATGAAATAGCCGATTCATTAGCAAGGAAGCAGCAACGATATCAGTTTAACGGAACAATATCTTCCACTTCCAGGATCATATCTTAAGCGCACCACAAGTCACAACTACTTCAAAATGGCAAGACAGGTGGTCTATGTCCCCCACGGGACGCGCACCTTCAAATTCATTCCAAAAGTCAACATTCATACAATTTCTTCGTCCTCTGCATTAACACCTTTTACTGGCCATGGACCTTTCCCAAATATCTTCACCGGTTTGGACTACGGACAATGACCTTTGTACATGTGGACAGAGAGGTAACCCGGATCCTATGTTTTCTCTTGCCATTTACAATCTGCAATTTCCAAAAACCAGTGGACAGATATCTACCGGAATGGAAAAAACCTACTATGTATGCTGGAAGCCAGAAGAGGCTATTCCAGATAATCCAACAGCAAAGATCATATGCATAAATTTACATCTACACTGCATTTTCAAAGAGTGATTTGAAATATCTACCGGATGAGACAAATTACCGACTATGTTATGTGGAAGCCGGAAGAGGTTATACAGATAATCCCTTCTGTAATAATCATTCTGTTGGAGATAAAGACTCTTTCTTGCTTCCAGAGGACTTTCTTATGATTATAAATACCAGAATATGACTTTTCGGTATACTTTATTACAAAATTATTTGTTAAAAATGTTCTTTATTGCATTTTGTATATAGTTTTTTATTATTTTTGATTGTTTTTAAGTATTTATTTCTTTATATTATATTTGTTTTTTTGTTATTTCATATATTGTATTTTGTCATAGATATCTAATTTTGCAAATGTTCAACCATGTCAAGTCTGTACGTACTCCTTGCTCCCTGTCTGCAAGATGAATGTTATCACCTCACTGTGACTGTGTATTCATTCTTTGACTTACTAAATAATGCTCGCTGGCCTGTTGGACGTTCCACTGGCTGTGGCGCTGCTAGTGTAGATTTTTTTCCACTGAACGGGCATTACACTGCTTGGCTTGGCTTAGGTCAGTGGCCTGTTCAATGGTGCGAATGGTGTTGTGCGACCCAGCGCAGAAGGCACAGAACTGTTTCTTACTGCGGCAGAGATCCTGGGAGTGCCCGAATTGCTGGCATCTATAACATCTACGGATTCCCAAGAACTCCGTGATAGTAGGAGCCTGCCATGCTGTGAACAGACGTCTGATGTTGATGGCAATTCCAAAGCTCTCCGAGGTACACTCGAGAACCCATTTGACTCTGTTTGCTCGGCGCTCTTTAAGTCGGAACAGGCGTTTGTATACTCTTGCTGATAGACCTGCTGTTGCGCTGAGCTCTGCGATGAGCTGTTCTGGTTTAACATGTTCTGGAACATTATGGATGGCTATTCTCGGCTGCCTCTTTTGCCTGAGACGAACCTCTGCCTGGACCCTCAGCTTTTTTATGTGCTCCTGTAACTTGAGTACCTCCTCGTTTGTATTACAAAAAACTTCTAGTCCGCCTTTTGGAGCCGGTTTGATAGCGTTGACGACTACTGGGATCTCACTAAGTGGAACCTTTTCTTGTAACTGTGTTCTTAGATCACGTGGATGGATACTCCCTAAAGGGTTGATGATCAGACTGGGTTTACTGAACTGTTTAAGCACTGCCGCAAAGGTTGGCGGCTGGGGCACAATTACGCTGATGGTGTTGTCGCTGACTTCAAGTGGCTATGGCCTTTTCCCCGGTGTTCTTGGAAGCCTGCGTAGTTGCTGTTACTGGCAGGGAGTGCCGTGCTTTGTACTTGAAGTAACCACCTCAGGGTATGGGGTGTTAGTGCCAGTGGTACAGCGCGGGATTACAGAAGTGTTCACGTCCTTTGTTGACTACCTCTGTTTCCACGTAATGCTATGTCCCGAAAGATCTCTAGAGTGGCTATGAGGCGTGGTAATATATTTTTATTACCTCGGAACTGTTTTGGCTATTTGTACGCTCTCGTCGAAGACCGCTTTTATTTTTTCTCTATATGAGAAGTCAGTTGAAACTAAGTGATTTGGCAAATCTAGATCACTGCAGTGTGTGGAGGTACGCATTTCAGACATACTGCATTGAGTCTATTGTATGAAATCACTAATGATAAAATAAAAAAATATTAAATTATTCTGCTATTCCACAGAGTTCACTAATGCTATTGGAATCTTTAAAATTATGCACTAAGTCTCTAATTTCACTGTGTAGACTATCTCACTGAATGCTTTAGAAATCTCTATATTATGGCAATTAGAGGCACTATACTGAGCACTAAATTGTGGCACTATAACAAGGACTATCTTTAGGCAT